GGTAATGCAGAATCCTATTCACTTATTATTAATTTAATATAATAATTTTGTCATTGCATATAAGCATACATGTATATCCATGAAAATTTGCACAATTTTTCTCTTCCAGCCAGCGATACGGTATACTGTATTCAGTGTATTGCATGTCTTGCTCTCTTAAACAAAAGAAGGAAAGGATGAAAGTAGTAGTAGCAGTAGTACTGATGAACCTATTGTGTTACTGAAATTTATCTGCATGCCCGTTGCCCACAAAATGACAGTGTCACTCGTTATTTTTGTGTCAATTAATTAAAGTTAAAATTGGTCCATGAGTGGCAATCCACAGAATATGACATGTATTAAAATAGAAAATATAGAATACATGTATACCATGTAACCCATCTGTAATTATTGTATGTAATTTGAGTGTGCCATTTGCTCTGGATCAAATTTAACTCGTAGTCTTGTACATGTGCAACCTAGGGGCTAGTTTTGTTCTAGTACAGAATTTTATTTTTGTTCTAGTTCTAGTTTTTTTACTAAAAGTACATGCATGTATTTTACTTCTAGTTTTTTTACTCAAAATACACTAGTTTTAGTTTTAGTCCTACATGTAGTTATGTGACAAGAAATACAATAATTTAGTTCTAGTTCTCTGACAATGAATACGACAGTTTTAGTACTATTTCTAGTTATATGACTAGAAATACAGTGAATTTATTTCTAGTTTGAGTTCTTTTAAACATAATTTTGTTATAGTATTAGTTTTGAACTGAAACCTTCGAAATTTAAGTTCCAGTCATACTCAAGACTGCAGTAATTTTAATATTAGTAGTAGCTCTTAACTAAAATCTTATAGTGTATAATTTTTGTTATATGACTAGTTATGTTTCAGATGTACAGTAAATGCAACATGCGAAATAGTATTTAATAAGTTTTACTGATACCAATCAAACTATTTATAACAATTGAAATGTCAGAGGTATATACAGTAATATAATATAAATAAATGTCACAGCTAGGTAATTTAACCATGCCTTGACTAAAAACATGGTAGCATGTTATTTTAGTCATAACTTTTAATTGTAGTCTAGCTGTAACCAATATTTAGAATTTGTTTTTTAGTGTGTGAAAGAGCAAGCAGTTAAAGGCAAGAAATTTAAGAAGGCAGTAAGGATTTATGCATGATCAGGGTTTCCCACAGGATTTTAGAGTATCACTCATGTACATGTACCTTCTTATCAGGGATTTTCATGATTATGTCTAAATATTAACTCTATTTAACTGTTTTTGTTATCATATTTAGAAGAAAAGGCCAAAGAAGTTACATGTAGTACAGCCTTCAAAGAAGGCTAGCAAGAAACAAGCAACTGAAGTGGATGATGATACCTCAAGCAGTAGCTCTGATTATAAAGACTTGGAGATTGTTAAGATTGGAAAGAAAGCACCTACAGCCAAGGTAAAGTTTATTAAATCCAAATGTAGAGCTTCTTCATCAATTAAGGTGGGTGGACATTTTTGGTTCAACTCTAGTGCCTTGTATGCATGCTTCAGAAGGTCAACCAATGCTTTTACTTAAAATTGACAGTATGCTGGCCTGTACAGGCATATTGTAAATCTGCTTTTTTCTTTACTCCTTTAATTAATATTGTTATTGCCTTATCATGTATAGATGTAATGGCATTTTTAACTTGCATGTCTAAACCACTTCTGAAAAACATGTGTTACATTACTTTATTAATTCTGTCTTAAACAGAAGAAGGATGACAGCAGTAGTAGTAGTGATGAAACTGATACTGAAGATACAACTCCTCCTAAACCAGTTGCTAAACCTACTAATGATGCTAAAGACAGTGATTCACCTGATGACTCCTCTTCTGATGATGACAGTGTAAGAGGTTTAAAATTACATTGTACATGTAAATAATTCAAAGTTGCTCTAATGCTAATGCCACTGTTCAACTCGAAAGCAACATTGATAATGTTGTCAAGTCTGTAACCACAAACTTGCTTTCAACAAAGTTATATGGTTGATAATGGGCTCTTTTAGTATTATGTGTACTTTTAGGAAGAGACAACGGAACCAGCTAAAGCCGGTACTAAAAGGAAGCCAGAGGAATCAGAGAGTGACAGTGATGAGAGTGAAACTCATAATGTGCCACAGGCCAAGAAAATGAAAAAGGGTATTAAGTATTATTATTGTTATTATTATTATTATTATTATTATTGTTATCATCATTATCATTACTGTAATTGTGACCTTGAGGCGAAGGCCAAAAAACCCAAAGGTTTTCACCAATGTGCAATGTACATGTATCTATATATATTTGTATGTCCACACTTACTTATTCCTTTACATGTTATATGGGAGAAGTAACAATTATAATGGGCCTTAGCAACACCCCACCCTGTCCCCCCTCTCAAGTAAAAAAGTGGGTATGGCCACGAAAAACAATGTTGTGCTGTAGAACAGTTTTCCTTCCAAAAGTAGCTTTGTATTTTGTGTTGTGCTACTCTTTTCCTTTAATTTAATTAAATTTTTGCTGATTTG